TCCCACCAGTGATGATGGAGTCTTCCCTCTCATTCCCCCCCTCCAATTTCACAGATTTATAGGATCTAGTTGGAATAATAACTTCCCGTAACACTCCCATCTTTTACCAACTGATCAACTAACTTGTATAAAGGATCACATAACTAAATGCTTAACTACACATGTTTATGCAGGGTCTCCTAACCCAGGCAGGGGTCTTTTGACCTGTGGGTGTGATTTTTAGTACTAAGATAATATTACAATGAAGATAGTTCACCACAGGATACCCAATAATGTTTTTCTCACTCATGAATAACATATTTTGACAATTGCCCAGGTGTTGTCAGAATACAGCAGATCTCAAGAATAGTCCTTCTTGATTACAAGTTTCTCAGTCTCATTTTTCCTCAGTCTTATTTTCCGCAATTCTGTTTTCCCTCAGTCTGGCTTTTCTCAGTCTGCCTACCATAGCTATCAGTTCTCATCATAAATCACTGCCATTTCTCAGGTCTCCTGACACTTTAAGAGGCCCTTGTATCTCTTCAGGCTCTTTCACAGTAATAGAAATTTCAATTTCATTACTAAATAACTATGGAATTTTAACAAAATATGATTTTGAGTTTAAATATATGCCTATGGAGCTTTAACTAAACACCTGTGGTGCCTGAGTATGTATCTATGGAGCTTGAGTGGCTCTAGTCATACGTATTTTGGTGTGACACTCTCACTTTACAATTCCTGTTAGTCAGTTTATCAGTACATGGTCTCTTCACATCCCCACGCCATGGTGAGTTCACTCACTTCGACCAGGTCGAAGGAGGTGCTCCTGCCCCTATACTCTGCTCTTGTGAGATCTCACTTGGAGTATTGTGTGCCGTTCTGGTGTCCTCAGCATAAAAAGGACATGGAACTGTTGGAACAAGTCCAGGGGAGGACCACGAGGATGATCAGGGGACTGGAGCACCTCCTGTATGAAGACAGGCTGAGAAAGTTGGGGCTGTTCAGCCTGGAAAAGAGCAGGCTCCGTGGAGACCTCATAGCAGCCTTCCAGTATCTGAAGGGGGCCTATAGGGATGCTGGGGAGGGACTCTTCATTAGGGACTGTAGTGATAGGACAAGGGGTAATGGGTTAAAACTTAAACATGGGAAGTTTAGATTGGTTATAAGGAAAAAATTCTTTACTATTAGGGTGGTGAGGCACTGGAATGGGTTGCCCAGGGAAGTTGTGAATGCTCCATCCCTGGCAGTGTTCAAGGCCAGGTTGGACAAGGCCTTCTGTGGCATGGTTTAGTGTGAGGTGTCCCTGCCCATGGCAGGGGGGTTGGAAGTAGATGATCTTAAGGTCCTTTCCAACCCTAACTATTCTATGATTCTATTCTATGATTCTATCTTGGCATAAGCTAAGGTCACAGGCGTGCCTGGGGAACTGTCGTAGGGTAGATTTGGTGCCCGTTTACCACGTTCCACCCCAGAATTAGCAGCTACATTTTACCCTAAAGTTTCTTTAATACTGTAACATAACTGAAGATCTGGGGGGTGGTCTCCAACTTCCCCTATTACTCCACAGATGTACTTGTGCTCAGAAGTAGAAAAGGTATTTACCCTTCAAAAACTTCTGTGGGAAAGCATCAGGTAGCAGTATGACAATGCAGCTCATTTAACAGCTGTCAGAAGGGATCCCATCTTATCTCTTGCACTGGCATTCACTGACTCTGTGACAAGCCAGGACAAGAACTTCAGGAAAGCTCCCTGAGCTATCAGTTAGATCAGTTTGAATATATTACTGAATTGCACTCACAACGCTATAAAGCAGGATCTGCTGCTCCAGCTTACAAAGGACAAACATGAAACCCTTCAAAATACTAAGAGGAGCAAAAGCTGGCTACTTTGGGAAATCTCTGGAGGTGAAAGGCTAAGTGCTCTCATGCTTCTAGAATCTGTTTTGTCTGATGCTTTATTTTCCAGTAGGTTCATTACAGATAATTTCAGCTTACAACAAATAAATGTCAAACTCTACATTTTCAGCAGTGGATAATCTTCTCCGCACCCTGGCTCCTTTGCTCATCTTGCATTGAAACTGGTGAGTCTGCTCTGGCTAATCAAAACAGCACAGGAAGGAGGTGGCAAGAGATTTCATTCCAAGCTTAGAAGTGGCTGCAGTGTGTTTCTGCAGCACTAATCAGCCAGAGTCATTTAAACAAGAAAAAACACGTTCTACAACCCTGTTTCAGACTTGCTCCATCCAGGTTTCCTGCTTTCCTTGCCTTTTGGCTCCCTGCCCTACAAATCATATCATTATGGTCACCAGTCTTAAAAATAAACAGTACTGCCTACCTTTATTTATAAAGTACCTCCTCTACGTACTTTATCAACTTTTGAGACTTCTCTTTGGAGAGAGTTGCTTTAATACAGAAATCAAACTGTTTGGCAAAATATAAATCCTCGTACATAAAGGCTGAGACTAAGAAGCAAAAATAACACCAAACCAAGATTAGTCATAACAAGATTTCTAACAATTACTTAATCATAGCTCTGTCCACCCACTATTACATAAATGAAACCAGTAACATTTGACTGTAATTAAAAATATGGCTTACAGAAATCCGGCATTTTAACGACTTAACAATAAGTGAAAGACTTACAAAAGGCAGCACCGAGCCCCTTATTGCTTCTGGGTCCCATCCAGGAATCAATGTATTTATATAACCACACATGTATTAATTCCTGAAAACAAAACATGTCATCTCTTTCCTGGCCTTACTGACACTAACAAGCTTTATGAAGTTTCCCCGCTGTGTTAGAGCCACTTGGAGCCATGGTATGTGACGCACTGAAAATGCCATTGGAGGACCTGCACCAGCATTTCTTTCACTCTAAAGGCATCAGAGTTGCACAGATGGTTGAGAGCTTTCCTGCAACTAAAAACTAATTGTGAGAATTTAGTTCTCATTTGCAGCCATGGTAATGGAGGCCAGCTGAAGTACTTGTGGTTTAATTCCAGAAATGCTGGTATCTGCAAACAGGTGGCAGCCTTCATAAAAAACTTTGATTACATCATTTCTTTCTTTGATCCACATGAACTACCTCCCTAGCAGACATGATGCACAGCAGTACAGGTTTTCACTCAAAACATTAAAACAGTAGCTGAAGTTTCTCTAGGACCATCCTGAGATACAAGGTTCCATATTTTTACTAGAGCAGGTTTAGTTACATCCGGCTCTGCCAGATAAGCCGTTTTACTCGCTGTGACACACCCTCTCCCAAATATGCTGGTCAGTACCTGCAACACTACTATATTTTTTAAACTTTAAAAGGTCATTAACACAAGATACTAAATTTTAGGTCACCACGATGCTACATACTGCATGGGAGGGACCTCAAGTATTCCGCATCTTATACAAACACTGCATTGCTCTAGCGAATAAAGCCTCCAATTAAGCAGAATTCCAAGCAGGGACTGCTCTTGTTCTTACAGTATTTCTACAGTTAAAAAATGCCTACAAAAGAGCATGAAATATGACAAATCCTGTAGCATCTAGTAATCACTCCTCCAAAACACAGAACTTCCCCTAACTTCCCCTACATGACATCAGTGGAGATTTCATACCACTTAACAGCTGCCTTTATAGAGTGAAAACAAAAGCTGCTAAAAATAACTTACACCAATGCTTTTCTCAAGTATCAATCAACAGCAACTCCTGCAGTTATTTAAGTGGAGAGCTCTTCATCTGTCCTGCACATTCCTACTGCTCTGTCTCATCAAGAAGCAACAGTTGCCATTTATTTTCCATCAAACAAGCCTCACAGAGGGAAAAAAACAAGGGCAAATTTGATAGCACAACTAGCATATATGCCAGGTTTTGCTAGTTAAATTAGTTGTCTAAACAGGTACTAGACAAAGGTCTAAGAACAAACATGAGTTACTTATGAGAATCAGCCCACTCGCTTACTAACTTAGAATCACACAGGTACTTCTACAGGTTTGTTTACTTTGCTCCCAGCAGACCTTTGGGGAGGCTACATAAAACAATACCTAAGTTTCATATCACATAAGCAAATCTTTAACTCACATTGTTTCACAGAAACATAAAGCCTTAGCCTTATCTAAGGCAAACATTACACATTTCCTAGAATACGTGTAATGCTTGAGGTTTTGAAGCAGCAGCAACACAGGGAAGCACAAATAGTTAAATATTTAAAAAATACATATATTAAAAAAACTGAATGGAGAATGATACAAAGCTACCAAAAATGAGCAATATTACTTGAATGAAACCCAAAGAAATACTTGTTTCTAACTAAGGAAGAAGGAAAACAAACTACTGTATCTTGTTCACACATGTACAGAACTCAGGTAGAATTACACCACTTTCACTTCCAAGACAAAGAACAATAAACACATTACAAAGTGGGATGGTTTACAAAGGAAATGACCAAAAGAACTGTATTGTTGAATGAATTACTGAATATTATACAGTTTTTCTCTGCTGAGTTCTCAAATCCAGTAAAGTAAGTAGACTGAACTTTTTTCCCCACCCAAACATGTTGCACTGCATTTATTTACAGCATTGTCATGGACAACATAGATAAGCTGAATTAAAAAATATACAATAGAAAAGCCAATGTGTTGGGTTCAAAATCAATATAACCAAATGAACAGTCCACGGTTGTCCCACCTAGCATCAAAGAACTGTATTACTGTGAACAGTCTTCATTTGTCAGGATACCACTTTCATGTCCATATTGCTCAAAATCTTACACAGCAAGTCAAAACAAATTTGTCACACAGAGTAAATTTATCTCTCAACCATACTTAGCCACCTTTTCAGGGTTTCTACAACTTAAAAAGTATAGCAACAAGAAAAAAATCCAGGCAAATAAACTGAAGATGAGCCCACAACATGAAATTACAGACAGTGGGGCAAGATCATTTAGCTACACTTCACCATCTACAGAAGTTTTCTGTGATACCAATTATGCTCAGCCTACACTTTTTTGTTTGTTTGTTTGTTTCTCCGAAGGAAACTGGAACTGGGATTTTTGTTTCTCCTAAGGGAAGAAAAAACCCTGTGCATAAGAGAAGTTTTGTTTTCCAGCTGGCCTATGATGTTCCCCTGAGCTCTGACACCCAGTAAGAGAACAAATCCCTCCAAGTTGATGGGAACAGCATCATGGAGACTATTCAAAAGTAGCAAACACACAGACTCCCCACAATTCCAGTAATCCTCACACTGAAATCCAACAGTTAAAGTTAAGAGTTAACTTGATTCTAAAAAGCATCAAGTGGTTTCACTTACAAGTAACACCATATTCAAAAGCTGTAGAAGTTCTTTACAGACAAGTATACTGCGAATTACTTGTATTCTACATGATTTATCAGTCTTCTTTAGGTAGGAACTTTACAGAACTAGATGCACGCCTGCAGAACAACAGTCGCTGCTCACAAGTATTTATGATCTGCTTAGAGTCTGGCACATTTCACTTGGTTTTACTGCAAGAATCAGATATCAAAAGTCAAGCTATAAGCAGGAATAAGTTTTCTACTTTCACAAAATATATTTCAGATCAGTATTAAATTTCTCATATCATTAAAGGCATGGTATCTTTTTTTAATACCCTTTGATTACTTCGGTATTTCTAGTGATATGAAGATCACCAGACGCAAGGGGCAGTTCCTGGGTGAGATGGGGAACGGGCGCACCCCTTAGTGCACCCCTCCCGCATCACGGCCGGCGAAAGCCACTTCTGTCAGCACGAACATGAATTAATCTGCAACCCAGCCACAATCCGGGGCTCGAGGAGGAAGCCAGCACCGGAGCCACCCCCCGCTCATGGACACCCCCGCGGCAGCCTCGGTTCTCGCTCCCGCGGAAGGCAGCCACCATTTGCTCGCAGCAGTCACCGCCTTGCCCCACGCTTCCCTCCCCTCCCCCGCCACCAGCAGGAAGCCGCGGCCGCCACCCCACACCCACCGCACCCCGCCTCGGCGCGGACACCCCCAGCCCCGTGGAGCCCCGCACCCCTCAGGGTGGTGGGGCCGCGCAAGGGCCGCGCAGCGGGGGCGCCCACAACTTGCGGCGGGGCCCATGCAGCCCGCGGCGCTCCCCGCCCCACGGGCGGACACTCTCCCCTTTCCCCGCGGAGCTGGGAGAGCTCCTCGCCGCGAGGGCCCGGCCGAGGGATCGCCTCAGACTTACCCGTCGCCCACCACCACACACTTAATGGCCTGCATCGGGCCTGCGCCGCGGGTCCTACTGCTGAACGGGGAAGGCCGCACAAGAAGCGAGCCGGCGGCGGTCTCCGCACCAGGTCGCGGCCGCCTCCGCCCTGTGCCTGGGAGCGGGGACGAGCAGCGGCCACCACCCAAGGCGGAGAGGGCGGGTTGCGGGGAACAGGAAGCGGCCGCTCCACTCACTCACATCCGGCCGGGCTGCGCTCGGCCCCGCGGTCCCGCCCTCACGAGGGCCGCTTCGGCGCTGCCGCTTCGGGCCTCTTCGGTCAGTCAGCGCACGGCGCCGAGCGCGCTTCGGGCCGCTTCGGCAGCGCTCGGGTTTCTCCGTCACGCCGGAGGGCTTCGGGCGCGTTCGGCTGCGCTCGGCCCCGCTCACCGCCGAGCAGAAGCAGCTGCCGTGCTTGTGGTACCCGCCCGGTCAAGGGAGTGAGGTGCCTTTCCCCTGGCTGCCTTGGTCTCAGACCAGGGAAGCCCCAAGGGTGATCCCTTGGTTTTTGTTTAATCATTGAGAGCCCTGCTGAAATGCGAGGGCATGCGCTGAGAAACAAGGATCCTGTCTTGCTCCTGACAAGAGTCTTGCACAAACCTTGCAACCGTCCGCTGTCAGGACACCATGCAGCAATCTCATTCTTCATCTTGTGAAGCATGTTAACGTGAAATTAACGTTTGCCCTGCAGATGTACTGTGCGGATGAAACTCAAGTTACCAGAGGCAACCCACAATGCTCCTGAAGTGCTGCAGTGGGTTGCTGCCATTTTCCTCATCCAGCCACCCGCTATGGGACGGTGCCCTTCATCATGCCAGCACTGTGGAGCCAGAACATCTCCCTCATCGAGGGATCCACATGCTACCCTACCTCCTCCTAGTGTGTTAGGACATCAGATAACTGTTGGCAAGTTTGAGACCAGATCAATTCCCAGTCTTCAGAGCACAGTCTTACGCACTGTGATCAGTAAGTTGGGGCAGCCCAGAGACTCTCAGGCTACACAGAGGTTTCCTTTTTCCTTAAGCAAAACAGTTATTTTCATTAATAAGTAAAAGTCAAGCAGAGCAGGTCCAATGATCTAATCAGTCCTTTAATTCACTGAATGCATTCAGTGAAATCAATGCAGTGCACCATCATGGGTGGTTTTCTAGAGATTTGATCTCCTATTAATTTCAGAACATTTCTGAATTATTCTGGTGCCACACAAAGCAACCTCATCACTGAACAGAGCATTCCGTGGTATTTACTGTTTTCTATTTTTCTTCTGCTGCACAAAGATAATTTTACATAAGTGAGGAACACATCATAACTATCGCTGTGAAAGGCTATTTTTGCAGCACTTCTATGTCCATGTTACCTCATACAGATGGAAGCTGAAATGACTTGTCATTCAAGCTAAATACCCTTAAAGCCAAGACTCAGCTGCTGCCAGTGACCTGGCAACTGTTCTCTACAGAGCAGCCAGGAGCTGTGGAAGAGAGGTGGGCAGTATCAAAGTGCTCATGCTGTTCCTGGCTGCTACAGCAGCTTTTTGGGCCTTTGAGATACTGCACAGAAATAGAGCAGACGTGAAGACTGTCTTAATTTATGTTGTGGTCCTGGGGAGACACAGAACATGGGAAGATTAAAGGGAAGTGTAAAACTGCTTCTTATTTTCCCACCACCTGCTTATTCCTCCACTGGTTCTTTTTCATCCAGTATAAAACAGATGGATGATCAGAGGGTTTTATATTAGAAAGAGGTTTAACAAATTTATAATATTATTACAAAATAGTGTACAAAGACAAGGATGAAGGCTGTAATAGAGAAAAAACATTAGCACAAATTGCTTTCATGATCCTGTCAGGAGACAAGCAATATCTCTTAATATGTTCTTTTTAGTGCTCCTCTATCCTACTCTGTTGGGATCAATTGGTTAAAACACAGGGTATGCTTTGAGTATGCTTTAAATTTACAACCCTATACCCAACTGGGTATAAATTACCGACATCAGAAAATACCTAGATATTTATTGTTAGTCATTAAAAACAACATTAGAGTTTGGATAGATGATGATGGTAACAGCTTAATGCCATTTTTTCCCCACACGTTTGTAAATATTTATTTCCTCATATGTGATACAAAGGAACTGTTCAAAATTTTCCATATGAAATCCTAGTTGATATCTCTCTTAAGGTAACTTTCCTTATTTGCCCTGGAAGACAAATTGTTACTTGTGTGTACGCTCCTTAGAAGACATGCTGTATTAATTATTCTGTCATTAAACTTCACTATATTTCAGCTACATTTTACTTTATTTTTGCATCTTTTTTGTTTCACTAGTATGTAGTGTATTTGTTTTTAAATGCTAATATGGTGCTGCAAATGCTTAACACTCGTTGCAGGTTGCGTTTTTTTTCAATGAGAATGAGGGGAGAGATCAACACAGAGAACATACTGAAACATTAGAGAAGAAACTTAGAGAACAATATGAAAGATAGGGCAAAGGAGTGAGAAGTTTGTAATAAACAATAGGAAAAATATTAGTTTGATAGACATAACTGCAATGCTGAGTTGTATATAGTTACAATATGCACTATACAGTGGAGTATGTAAAAATAAAATAATGAATGGCAGTAACAATAACCAATTATAATCTTTCCAGAATTCTGATAAGATCATGAATTATAAAGCTGAGGCTTAGATCAGTCCTAATATTGTTCCACAATCTAATACTTCATCTTCTCTCATCCCTTACAATTGTTGTCAACAGTCTTTTTCTTAGAAATCAAGAGGAAATCATTATTTAAAATGGTTTTGGATACTGTCTGTGTATTGTGTATGTGCTGGCACTGAAGGAGGATTATTCTTCTTTGTGGATGGGGAGTGGCAGGGTAATCATGCTGATGCAATACTGGAAACTTCTGCTCACCATGACACAGACTATCAGCATTACAGAGACAATAATTATTTGCACAGTTACAGTATCTTTCATCCCAGACTATTACTGTGTTCTTTAACATGTTAGCTCATTAATGAAGCCACAGAGAAGTAGAGAAGGACCCGTATACACACTGTATATACAGGGAAGCATGTCACTGAAACAAACAGAACACCAAAGAGTGATTCATAGGTGTATTCTCCTACTCCTAAATGACACTTCCTGCTGACACCAGTCAGTTCAGTTGCCTTCAGGAAACACCATGCTACAATATCTAGGTCAAAAGTAAAAGTCTGTTTCATGGGGGAAAAAAAGTCTTTTTTAGGGGCAAATAATTGACAGCCACTTCAAACTAGGGGTTGGACTGAAGTGCAAGAGCCAATTTTAAAGGAAGCAAAGGTGCATCACAAAGTGTGGGAGGGCAAATTATGGTTTTCAGCATATTGCACTCTTCTCTCATCAGGTATTTGTATTAGAATCAGAAGCAAAAAGACCCTGAACAACTGAAGAGAGATTTCTTTACTGGAGAAAAACAAGGTTTCCAGATGCTTTTCATCTTAAAATAGGTAAAAGAATTGCCTTTAAAATTTTACTTAATGCTTGATCTTATCCTAATTTGAGTTGGTGGTGAAAGTCAGGTGATTAATGATGTAGTAATAGGGATATAGTGACGGTAGAAAGAAATCTTAATGCACAACACTAGGCATCCAAAACTCTTTTGTGGCCTCTAGTTCCATCCATGTGTTACCTGCCTTTGTGGCCTGTCTCTCACTGACCCCTATGCCTTCCCACTTTTAAATAAGTATTACTTATTCAAGCTGTTTGGATAGTAGCTGGCACAAAGGTTCACACCCAACACTCAGTTGCCCGAGATTCTGAAGTTTTTCCCTTAATGATCTTTCAATTCTTTAGTTACATGTCTTTATCAAGCTGATAAAGCCCATAGTTTTAATTAGGAAAGTGACACAATTGCTGTGGAGGAAATTCAGAGTATCTTCACTAAAGCTGGGGAGATACTGTGACATAAAATTTATGTTAGAAAATATTATAGACACAAGCAACGGTCTGTAGTTTCTGGATATTCCTGGCAGACATTTCTGGTATGATGAGTTTCCTGAGTGTTGAAAAAATACTCCTGTACTGCCATGTGATATGTGTGCTGTTCAAATTTAGTGCCCTGTCTGCTTTAGAGGAACCAAAGGCAGCAATAAAAAGGGAACCACAACTTCTAAATATCAGCATTGCTGCATCAGAGAGAACAGATTAAAGGAGCAGAAACATAAAATGTTAGTACATAAATCTCTACACTAATAATAAATCATTGTAAAATAAATGCAGCACATTCATGTGATATTAGCATGGGTGGTTCAGCAGGCATACATATACAACAGAAACAAG